TTCCGTGCTCTTCATACTGTCTGAATTGCAGATCCTACCTGGCAGAAGCAGCTCCTCCACCTGCCATTTCCTTAAAAGCAAACAAGGAGACACCTTTTCAGTGTGATCTCTATCTTCATCTTCCTTGTGGTTCTTTGCTTCTGATCCTAATTGCAATCCCATTCGCGATACCCTCAGCCTGCCTGCCGCATCTGCATCAAACACACCTCGCTCATTCCTTTCTCTGCCCTCCGTCTAAAAGCTGAATCTACCTTCCAGACACCACCCTGTTCCCATTTTTATGGAGGTCTCCCAAGTGACCCCAGTCCCCGGGACCCTCCTCGTCCACGTTCTCTACTGCCCAGCTTGTTAGCTCCATCAGAATAGGGACAGTTTTATTCCCTAATCGGGACTGGTTTTTATTGTTGTCATTTGTTGCTGATAGAAAAGTATTTATGCATTGGAGATTGTATCAATGATTTTAAGAAAGGCTAGGATAAGACATGGTTCTATAAGTAAAATGATTTTAAAATTTTTACTTTCTGTGTTAATTTAAATCATAAAAGCATTCATTTATTTGCCTATCCTTTTTTTTTTTTTTTTTTTTTTTTTTTTTTTTTTTTTTTTTGAGACGGAATCTTGCTCTGTCGCCCAGGCTGGAGTGCAGTGGCGCGATTTCCACTCACTGCAAGCTCCGCCCCCCGGGCTTACGCCATTCTCCTGCCTCAGCCTCCCGTGTAGCTGGGACTACAGGCGCCCGCCACCGCGCCCGGCTAGTATTTTTGTATTTTTTTAGTAAAGACGCGGTTTCACCGTGTTAGCCAGGATGGTCTCAATCTCCTGACCTTGTTATCCGCCGTCTCGGCCTCCCAATGTGCTGGGATTACAGGCTTGAGCCACCGCGCCCGGCCTTTTTTTTTTTTGTTTTTTGAAACAAGGTCTCATTCTGTTGCTCTGTTGCCCAGGCTGGAGTGCAGTGGTGTGATCATAGTTCACTGTAGTCTCAAACTCCTGGGCTCATGCAATCCCCCTGCCTCAGCCTCATGAGTAGCTGGGAATACAAACATGTGCCACCATGCATGGCTAATTTAAAAAAAATTAATTGTAGAGTCAGGGTTCTTGCCATGTTACCCAGGCTGTTTTGAACTCCTGGCCTCAAGCATTCCTTTCGCCTGGGCCTCCAAAAGTGCTGGGATGATAGGCACGTGGCACCACACCTAGCCTATGTGTTTATCCTTTTATTGCAAAGCCAAGTCTTCTTCCAGGCTTGTGGGTCTGCTGATTGGTTTCAGGCACTCTTTCTTATATAAACCACAACCATAACACATAATCTATAAAATTATTACAGTATCTTCAAAAGGGACAAAAAGGATCCTCACAAGGCAAAATAAGTGTGAAATTCCTCCAGATTTTTAGGGCTGGTCCCTATGTCTTACATTTCCTTCTCACACTTAACTTTCTACCAGTCTGCATTGAATCTTTACAAAGCACCGCATCTAGTTCTCATAGACACAACTACACCATTTACACTCTTATCACATCTGAGCAGCATATATATATATATGTGTGTGTGTGTTTATATATACGTGTGTATATATATGTGTGTGTATATGTATATGTGCATATGTGTGTGTGTGTGTGTATATGTATATATAGTTGTTGTTGTTTGAGACAGAGTCTCGCATTGTCAGCTGCACTGGAGTGCAATGGTATGATCTCAGCTCACTGCAACCTCCCCGCCCTGGGTTCAAGTGATTCTCCTCCCTCAGCCTCCCGAGTAGCTGGGATTACAGGCACCCGTCACCATGCCCAGCTAATTTTTTGTATTTTTAGTAAAGACGGGGTTTCACTATGTTGGCCAGGCTGGTCTCGAGCTCCTGACCTCATGATCCACCCACCTCAGCCTCCCAAAGTGCTGGGATCACAGGCGTGAGCCACTGTGCCCGACCAATATTTTGTTATATGACATACTTACAATAACAAGTACAGGTGACAGATTCTGATTCTCGGTAAACATACAACTTGTGACTGGTGAGAACAGAAGTGTGCAGACATTCTAGAGTTCGGAATACTTATGGGAGCCCTAAATACCAGCTGCAATTTTACAGAAGGAATAGAGTGTATCTGTTATGTTGGTTAAGTTGAGTTCGTCTGTTGAGTTGGTTAAGTGTGGACCAAGCCGAGAATCTTGGTTGTGTTACACTTAGACCTGGGTTCAAATCCTGACTCTGAGACATTGGGAAAGTTAGCTTCTAGATCCAGGCTTCAATTGTGGCTGAGTGCAGTGACTCACACCTATAACCCCAGCACCATGGGAGGCTGAGTTGGGAGGATCACTTGAGGCCAGGAGTTCAAAACCAGCCTGGTCAACATAGCAACACCCTGTCTCTACAAACGAAAAATCAAAATTAAAACAATAGCCAGGAGTAGTGGCCTGCAGTCCCAGCTACTTGGGAGGCTAAAGCGGGAGGATCGCTTGAGCCCAGGAAGTTGAGGCTGCAGCGAGCAGCGATCTCACCACTGCACCCCAGCTTGGGTGGCCCAAGAGTGAGACCCTATTTCAAAAAATAATCATCATCATAATAATAAGCTTCAATTTCCTCATCTGTAAAGTGAGGACAGAAATGGTTCCATAGCATAGCAAAATTGTCAAGAGATTAAACTAGATGGTGCTGGTAAAGTGTTTAATAGAAGATCTGGCACATGGAAGGTGTTCAAAATAAGTAAGTGCTGCTGCTAGTGGTTCCATTTTATTCTCAATGTGGTAAAATACACATAACATAAAGTTTACCATCTTAACCATTTTTAAACGTGCAGCTCAGTAGTGGTAAGTGAATTCATGTTGTTCAGCCAACCTCCAGAACCCTCTTCATCTTGCAAAATTGAAACTCAATACCCATTAAACAACAACTCTGCATTCTCTCCTGGTCCCCAGCCCCTAGCAACCCAATGACGCCCATTTTTGACCCTGTAACTATTTTCTGCCATCCTGTATTTCTTGTTACTCTTTGAGTCCCTCCCATTCAAGCCACCAGATGCCCATTGCCTCAAAGAAGAGGTAGGCTAACAGAAAACAGAAAAATAACTCTCTTAGGAGCTTTCATGTCTCAAGCCCAAGCCTAGAGGAGTAGAGAACAACATGATTGAGCAGTGTAAGGTTTCCTTCTCCAGAGACTAGGCAAATGCTCCGGAGGGAAGAAGAGGAAAAGGAAATAAAAAGCTTAGGTGCTGGTGGGTCCTTGAGAAGGGTCTGGTACCAGCTATCCTTGGGGTTGAACCCAAGCAAGAAGATAAGAATATTTGCAGGAGGAATGAGGCACTACCCAGCAAAGACACAGCACTGGACAGAATGATGACCCACTACAGGGACCACACCACCCTAGTCCTAAAGGCACCTTGTCATTCTGTAAGATTCCAGGAAAATCTAGAAAGCCCGCAATGTGGCTAACATTTTTTCATCTGACTGAAAAAACTGAGGGCCTGAATTAAAAATTTAGCTGAATTAGGCCAGAAATGGTGACTTGTGCCTGTAATCCCAGTGCTTTGGGAGGTGGAGGTGGGAGGATCACTTGAGGCTAGGAGTTCAAGATCAGCCTGGGCAACATAGCAAAATCCTGTCTCTACAAAAAAAACAAAAATTACAAACATTAACTGGGTACGGTGGCATGCTCCTGTAGTTCCAGCTACTCAGGAGGCTGAGGCAGGAGGATCGTTTGTGCCTAGGAGGTGGAGGTTACAGTGAGCTATCATCAGGCCACTGCACTCCAGCCTGGGCGACAGAACAAGACCCTGTTTCTAAAAAAATAATAATTTTTAATTTACCTGAATAATAAGAAAAGCAGTTGGAGATATTTTTTCTGCACTCTTTTTTTTTTTTTTTTTTGAGACGGAGTCTCGCTCTGTCGCCCAGGCTGGAGTGCAGTGGCCGGATCTCAGCTCACTGCAAGCTCCGCCTCCCGGGTTTACGCCATTCTCCTGCCTCAGCCTCCCGAGTAGCTGGGACTACAGGCGCCCGCCACCGCGCCCGGCTAGTTTTTTGTATTTTTTAGTAGAGACGGGGTTTCACCGTGTTAGCCAGGATGGTCTCGATCTCCTGACCTCGTGATCCGCCCGTCTCGGCCTCCCAAAGTGCTGGGATTACAGGCTTGAGCCACCGCGCCCGGCTTCTGCACTCTTGATCTTGAGTACTGGGACTAAAAGCTGTTCTATTCTGTACCCTGCCCCTTCTACTCAGGGCCTGGGGTGCCAGTGACTATACTTCACACTGCCTCAGTCTACTTCCTTGCTCAGACTTCAGGCCCAAGGGGAACAACATGTTCCCACAGCTTATGCCTGATGGGATAGCTGAGGTCATGTCCTTACCTATGAGCCACATCCCTGTGGCCAGCGGGATGAGATCATTCTGATATGCCTCAGCTAGAGCCACATGCCCCATGATCAGAGCTGGGAAAGGTATTGTCTGAAAGTGAGTTCAGGCTGGCGGCAGTGACTCTTGCCTTTAATCCCGGCACCTTGGTTGCTGGGGGTCCAGGGGTCTGGACACTCAACCACCAAGTGGAAATATAGCAAATTAATTGGCTTGTTAATATTAATAATACTTAATATCAATAAATATTGGCAAGGTTTTATTGAACATCCGTTGTGTGCCAGGCACTGTTTTAGGGGGTCAGGTTCAGCAGTGAATCAAACTAACGCAAATCCCTTTCCTCAGGACCCTTACATGTAGGAAGAAGATACGGGTTCAAAGAGGGACGACGGATCTGGCTGGAGGAAAATGAGCTCTGGCCGGAGGGAAGAAGGATCTGGAGAGAAAGAATAGGGCTCTGGAGGGAAGAAGAGGGCTCTGGAGGGAGGAAGAGGGCTCTGGAGGGAGGAAGAGGGCTCTGGAGGGAGGAAGTGGGCTCTAGAGGGAGTAAATGGGCTCTGGAGGGAGGGGAGTGAACTCTGGAGAGAGGGAAATGGGCTCTAGAGGGAGGTAAATGGGCTCTGCAGGGAGGGAAGTGGACTCTGGAGTGGAGGAAATGGGCTCTGGCAGGAGGGAAGAAGGATCTGGAGGGAGAAAAGAGGGCTCTGGAGGGAGGGAAGTGGACTCTGGAGGGAGGGAAGTGGGCTCTGGAGGGAGGGAAGTGGACTCTGGAGGGAGGGAAGTGGACTCTGGAGGGAGGGGAGAGGGCTCTGGAGGGAGGGAAGAGGGCTCTGGAGGGAGGGAAGTGGGCTCTGGAGGGAGGGAAGTGGACTCTGGAGGGAGGGAAGAGGGCTCTGGTGGGAGGAAAATGGGTTCTGGAGGGAGGAAAGTGGGCTCTGGAGGAGGAAGTGGGCTCTGAAGGGAGGAAGTGGGCTCTGCTGGAGAGAGGAAGTGGGCTCTGGAGGGGAGGGAAGAGGGCTCTGGTGGGAGGAAAATGGGTTCTGGAGGGAGGAAGTAGGCTCTGGAGGGGAGGAAGAGGGCTCTGGTGGGAGAACTCTGGTGGGAGGAAAATGGGTTCTGGAGGGAGGGAAGTGGGCTCTGTAAGGAGGGTGGAGGTCTCTGAAGAAAGGGATGAGGGCTCTAGAGGGAGGGAAATGGGCTCTGGAGGGAAAAAAATGGGCTCTAGCAGGAGGAAAGAAAGATTTGGAGGGAGAAAAGAGGGCTCTGGAGAGAGGGAAGTGGCCACTGCAGGGAGGGAAATGAGCTCTGGTGGGAGGGAAATAAGCTCTGGTGGGAAGGAAATGAGCTCTGGAGGGAGGAAAATGGGCTCTGGAGGGAGGGAAGTGGGCTCTGAACAGAGGGAAGATGGCTCTGAAGAGAGGGAAATGTGCTCTAGTGGGAGGGAAATGGGCTCTGGCAGGAGGAAGGAGGTATCTGGAGGGAAGGAAGAGAGCTCTGGAGGAAGGAAATGGACTTTGGTGGGAGGGAAATGGGCTCTGGAAGGAGGGAAAAGCTTCACTCAAATGTTTGCTCCCTGGGCCTCCTTCTTCTTCAGCAGGAATTTCACATGTTCCTGGCACTGGCCTGTCAAAGCACAGGCTTATTATCTCCTCCTAAACACCAGGACAAGCTTCCAGAACAGCCTCACCACCATAAGAGGCAACTGAGGCTGCTTCCCAGAATGAAAGCGATCCATATGTAAAAAATGCAATAAGCAAGTCAGCAGTTTTATTGATTTTTTTTCTTCATACTTCCTTAACCAATTAGTTTGAAACAGTGTAAAATGGGCTATGTGACAGATTGCTCAACAGAACTCACATTTTTTTTTGTGGGGGGAAGACATGGTCTCACTCTGTTGCCCAGGCTAGAGTGCAATGGCACAATCACAGCTCACTGCAGCCTCAAACTCCTGGGCTCGAGCGATCCTCCCACCTCAGCCTCTTGAGTAGCTGGGACTACAGTCGTGTGCCACCACACCTGGATAATTTTTTAAGTTTTTGTAGAGATGGGGTCTCACTATGTTGCCCAGGCTAATCTTGAACTCCTGACCTCAAACAATCTTCCTGTCAAGGTGCTGGGATTATAAGCAAGAGCCACTGCCCCCAGCCTGAACTCATTTTCAGACAATACCTGATGGCTTTTGCCTACCTACCCATTCCCACACGTACCCCACTGCACACACAGTGTGAATACGCATGCACACAGGTTGGTTTGGACCACCCAGGATTCAATCCTCCTTTTGGTAATAGATTCAGAATTACACTTGTAGTTCTTATTCTTTCCCTACGTAGCTCATGTACTTCAATGGATTTTGATGCTTTTCCATCTCTGATCATGGGGCATGTGGCTCTGGCCTAAGCATATCAGAATGATCTCATCCCTCTGGCCACAAGAATGTGGTTCATGGGTAAGGACATGACCTCAGTTGTCCAATCATGTATAAGCTATGGGAATATGCTCTTCTCTGCTAGGCATGAATGAGGAACTGTGAGGCCTGAGCATGAGGCCAACAGCAGTGTTAAGATCACAAGAGGCTGAGAACAGGGCTGCTGAGAGCGGAGTGGTTTTCAGATAAGTTCTCTGATTCTTTAACATGCTCCCCTCAGACAGTGGAGTTTAATGCCCCTACCTTGAATGGGCTGGATTTGGTAGCCTGCTTCTAATGGATAAGGTGTGGCAAGTTGCTATGCAACTTCCCAGACTTGGTCATAAAACCAAGAGCACCCACCTGGCTCTCCCTCACTCTCGGATCCTTTGTTCTGGGGAAGCTAACTGCCATGTTGTGAGGAGGCCCATTAGCTCCCCTACCAGAAACCCCCAGCACCAATCCGCCTGCCAAGCAAATGAGTTATCTCAGAAGCACATCTCCCCAGTTCATCCAGAGGATTGTAGAACCAACGGACACATCTTCACTACACCCTTTCGGGAGATTTAGAGCCAGAAACACCAAGCTAAGCTTCTCCTACATTCCTAATCCATAATAACTGTGAGATGCCAAAAGTGTTTTGTTGTAAGTAAGTGAGTTTTAAGGTAATCTGTTACATAGCAGTAGATAATAGGCACAGAAACCCATACCAAGACAAACAATCATTAAGTTGCTGGATCAACCCTCACCTGAAGTTTGCTTGATCCTTTGGACTTTTCAGTTAAGCAGGTCAATAAAGTTCCTTTCTTGTTTAAGCCAATTTGAGTTGGATTTTCTGTTATTTTTCCTTAAAAGCATATTGGTAGACATATTACCAATCCTTTCCTCTGGTCTCAGACTTCTAAAGGGAGCTAAAAATATAGAATAGCTTATTTTATTTAAATTCAAATCCTTGTTTCAGTTACTCCTGCTTGTAACTGTGGCATTTGTGCTAATGGAAGCAGATGCTGTTGCAATCTCCATGCAGAAAATTCCTTCTCTGGGTTAAGGATGTAATACATAGAAATGGGAAGGTAATTTACACCTGAATATATAAAGAGTCTACAGGTAATAGCCCTTAAATGTATCACGTCTGTAGATACTGATTGTTATTTGCCTGCCCAAAGCTACCAAAGAGAAGGAGAGAGAAGAGATGTTAATTCTTGCTTGACAGTGGGCCTTCTAGCATTCTTCAAATCCAAATGAAAAACAGAGATGTGATGATTACAGGACTTACATGCCTGAAAACTCAGTGTTCCCTTTCTCTGTCCTTTGGAAGTAATTTGTTTCGTTTGTTTGTTTGCTTGCTTGCTTGCTTGTATTGCAATGCACCAAAGAGAAAGTAGGACTTTCCTTTCCTTTAAGAAAAAAAAAATTAAAAAATGATTTGTGCATGTGTATGTAACAATTGGGAAACATCACAGCAAGATAGCATGTGACTCAGGTGATTGACAGTGTTCAGAAGGATCTGGAAGAAAGAAATGAGGCTTATGGTAGGGTCTGGAATGCAGTAAATCTAAGTTAAAAGGAGTTGCTGGATAAAATACATCTCCAAGAGCCTTTGGCTGTCTTCCTTCTCTGAACAAAACTAAGATTGGCCAATAACAATTATAGTACCTCATGTGTCAACTGTGGATATTGTCCTACTGCATAGACATGGCCATGTGAAAGCTGTAGATTGAGGGTCTACTTACACCTGATAAGACTTGTCAGTAAATTATATCTTTATTATTGCTTCTAGGTTCCCTTCCTGGATTTTTAGAACTTGACTGCTTGGATTACTGGCTCTTCATTCAGGAAGAACTTTGAAATTTACTTATATGAATTTCATCAGAGATATCCTTAAGATATCATTGCATGTTTCAAACTAACTTATTTTGGGGGATGCATTAGGGTTGATGTTTGGATTTGGAGTCCTAAGAACTCAATATGGATCTCACTTTCCCCTTAATGCTAATAAAACCCTGAGAAAGTTCTTGAATCTCTCCAAACATTAACCTTTCATCTGTAATATTAATTATTTTGTTTGTAATAATAAAAGTAGCACACACTCTTATATAACTTACTATGTTGCAGACCCTGTTCTCACCATTTTCCATTTCTTAACACATTTAATCACATCACCTAATGTAATTCTCTCATCCCAAAGCTCAGTACATATTAGACACTGCAATGACAGTATCCCCTTTCATTTAGAAATGAAATATTAAAAAGCATAATTAATAGACGGAGCACCAAATTATCTATTGTAACATTTCTCACACATCTTGGTGATGCTAGTCTAAAAAATGTTTTTACATTTATATTCTGTGACCAATTTTTTCACTCTCTCCCACATACACAGTCACGCACACACACACACACACACGCATGGTGAAAGAGCACGATTTGTGAAAATCAATGTGTCATTGCCTTTTCTATAACGTCCATCTCTATTCAATCCACCTGGTATCACTGGGGACATCAGAGAGACACTGTGCTTCAAAGACAAATGCCATCTTAATTGGACAAGTCTCTTTTTAACATTTAACATTTCCTGTTGGATCTAGTTTAAACCAGTCAATATTTTTTTTTATAAACAGGGGAGGGGGGTTGGAAAAAGAAACATGGTCTAAAACCCACATCTCTAAGTTATTGGTGTTTGGTGCAGCTGCGTTGATTCTAGCATTCACGTGGGTGCAATGCCATGCATGTGTATTAGCCATATTATTCACAGGGTTCAGGGCTGTGTGCAAACTGCATCAGTGACTGAATATGAGTTACAACCCAGGCAGCACTGTTAAACCACCACCTCACATCGTCACCCACAATAATAGGAACCCAAACTGGTGGAGAGGACCCAAGTTCTGCCTACTGAGACCCAAGTTCTCTGTGGAAACACTGAAAGATGTCTTGCTCTGGGTTGCCAGTTTGATGCAAAATCCCTGAGGAAGTGCAATGCAATGTGCTACTTTCTCTTCAAATTAAACCCAGGCTCCAAAGCCACGTGGTGAACCCACTACGAAGACAGCACGACTCAGGAAGAACCCTGCTTATGGACTTCAATAGCAGAGAGGCCTGGTTTCAAATACCAGCTCTGTCACCTGCTCTTTCCTGAACCAATATTTTTTGTTAGGATTAGATGAGATGATACTGATGTACTCTCTAAACATAGAAGACTTTCAGTAAATGGCAGAAGAAGCAAGTAAAGTAATAGTCATCTTTGCCTCTCCTTTCCTGCCTCTTCCCTTGAGCTCCAGATTTATGCAGAACTCAACCTAATAAGTCAAACTCACCATCTAGACCTTAAACTTGCACAAACCAGAAAGTTGGGTCATCGCCACATCCTCTCCTCTCCATTCTTACCAATTCTGTAACTAAATCAAGACCTTCACTGGACTTCAACTTTGGACTTTGTTTCAGAAGTCAGAATTTTCTTCCTTCTTCTAAACAGATACAGAAGCAAGATGAAGAACAAAAAATGTGCTTATAAGTATTTAAGGAAATTAAAAGATAAATGCAATGCAAGACTCCAAGATATGTGCGTGGCTGTCAAAAGCAGCTGAGATTGAGGGGAAGCCACATAAGAGGAAGTGAAAAGAGATGCAGCATGTGGCCTCAGGATCAAACGGTGGCATCTCTCAGGAAGGACAAGCAGAAAGATATTTTTTTAAAGGAGAAGGACTCAGGTGAGGGTCCTGAAGTGCAAGGTTATCCCTGTTTTCAACAATGGGACCAGGAAACAGAACAAACTGGGTTTATGCTCAGAACATGGTTGGCCTGGCTTGGGACAAAATAACAGAGTCAGCCATAGTTGCAGGAAGCAGTCTGTCTCTGAGGCAACAGAAAAGAGAAAATATTTTTATTTATTTAAAAAATGTAGCTATGTAAGTTGTACAGTATGATGTTTTGATATGCATACATATAGGGAAATTATTACTACAGTCTCCAACTTAGGATGGTTTGACTTACCACCGCTTTTGTCATGGTGCAATAGTGATTGACAACCAGAAGTTTTCAGATTTAAGCACTGGTGACTCTCTGACCGATACTCTGGGCTGTATTTTCACTTGATGGGTTTATGAGAATGTAATCCCATTGTATGTAGAGGATCACCTGTGTACAGTCAACTAAATATCCCATCCATCTTCTCACGTAGTTACCTTTTTGTGTATGTGTATAGTGAGAGCAACTGAAATGGACTCTCTTAGCAAATTTTCCAGTTTACAATTCAGTATTCCTAACTATAGTCCTCATGCTGTACATTAGATCTCTAGACTTAGG